GCCCATTTTCTTTTTTGTCTCAAATTTTAACCTTTCCCTGTCTTAACCTGTTTTTTTTTCTTTTGAATCTTTTTTTCTTTCATCTTGCTCTTTTCTTCATCTCAAGTTTTAATGTTTCCCTGTCTTAGCCTGGTTTTTGTTCCTCACTCTTAGGATTCCCACTCCCTGTGATCTAAAAATCATTTCCCTTTCCTCTAGACATCTCTTAAGCTTTTCTCTTTTTGTCCCCTTTTATTCCCATCCCACCTATATTAATCTTAGCTCATTTGTTATTGATAGTGCTGTGGTGGATCTTTTACTCCAATTTGTTTCCTATTCTTTTATTTTTTTATTTACTTTTTTTTCCTTCTTTTTCTCTTTAACTTTTTTAAAATTTTCTGTTTAAACCTAGTACTATATACTTCCCTTCTCTTACCCTATTCCATCTTCTTCATTGCCTTTTTTATTTACAATGTAAATTTTACTTTCTCTCTTTGCATTGCTCCAATTCTCTACTCTTATTAGGGCTCCTCTCACTACCCTCTCAAAATCATTTTTCTTTCAGTAGATTACTTCATATTTACTTCTCCTTTCTTATAACAGTCTTAATCTCTTTATACCTTATTAATACCAGTTCATTTGCTGTTGACAGTGGGATTGTAGGTGGGAGTTATTTTTGCAGGAGTGGGTTTGTTCCCAGGGCAGAGTGGCTTTGTTCTGGCAGCACCTACACAACAGAATACAAGACATGGCGGGTGGAATGATGCTCACTAAGCCAGCTGGAGGGAAGGATCCAACAAAAAATCACCCATTTAGCTTGCACACAGCTAAAGAAAACATCAACGAAGTGAAAAGGGAACCAACCATATGGGAAAATATGTTTGCCAATGCTTCCTCAGACAAAGGTTTGATGTCCAAAATATATAAAGAACTCACAAAACTCCATGCCAGGAAGACAAACAACCCAATTAAAAGAGGACAAAGGACATGAACAGACACTTCTCCAAGGAGAATATACAGAGGGCCCAGAGACATATCAAAGGATGTTCAACATCACTAGCCATCAGAAAGATGCAAATTAAAACCGCAATGAGACACCACTTCACATCAGTCAGAATGGCCATCATTAACAAATGAACAAACAAGTGACGGTGAGGATGTGGAGGAAAGGGAACTCTAGTGCACTATTGGTGGGAATAAAGACTGGTGCAGTTGCTGTGGAAGGCAGTATAGAAGTTCCTCAAAAAACTGAAAATGGAACTGCCTTTTGACCCAGCAATTCCACTGCTAACAATCCTGACAATCCTGAAACATCAATTCAAAAGAACTTACGCACCCCAATGTTCAGAGCAGTATTATTTACAATAGCCAAGTGCTGGAAACAGCCTAAATGCCCATCAATAAATCAATGGATCAAAAAACCGTGGTACATTTATACAATGGAATACTATGCAGCAGAAAGAAAGAATGAACTCCTACCCTTCACAATAGCATGGATGGAACTGGAGAGCATTATGCTAAGTGAAATAAGCCAGGAGGTGAAACACAAATACCATATGATCTCACCTATAAGTGGAACCTAATCAACAAAACAAACAAGAGAGCAAACTAGAATCAGGGACATGGAAATAAAGAACAAGCTGACAGTGACCAGAGGGGAGGGGGGAGGGGGATAACCAAGGGAAGGGTCAAGTTGAGCAACATGTACAAAGGACCCATGGACAAGGACAATGCGGGAGGGCAGGGCAGAGATTGAATGTGGGAGAGGGTGGGTGGGCATGGCAGGGGAGAGCAATGGAGGGAAAATGGGGACAACTTAACTGAACAATAAAAAAATTTTTAAAAAAGAATCTGGTACAGCAGACAATGGAATATTATTCAACATTAATAAGAAATGAGCTATCAAGCCATAAAAAGGCACAGAGGAATCTTAAAGGTACACTACTAAGTGAAAGAAGTTAATCTCAAAAGGCTACATACTGTATGATTCCAACTATATGAAATTCTGGAAAATTATTGAGATTGTAAAAAGATCAGTAGTTTTCAGGGGTTGGGGAGTGAGGGATGAACAGGCAGAGTACATTATGTCATTATATATATCCAAACCACTAAAATATACAACAAAAGTGAACCCTAATATCAAATATGGTCTTTGGGTGATAACATGTAATATATATGCATTAATTGTAACAAATATACCACTCTTGTCCCAGGCCTACAGCTTCCTTAGCAAAGGCCAATCTTCACCCTAGAGTGAGTTCCGCCCCTTGTACTTATGTTTCTAGGATAACATACTTTGAAGATCAGAGTAGTTTTCTTACCCTGCCCCTTGAAAGCAGAGCAATGGCACCAGAGTGCACCACCACCGAACTCCTCATTGCTCTCTCTTTCTGGCATACCATCTCTATGAGCTGTAAGTGTTAAGTATTAACTATCCTGTATCCACCAATGTACAAGATATGTTTCTCTATTTTGTCTTTTATACAGTCCTAGAGATTCCCCCCCCCATTATGTTTTCTCCCACCTCCTTCATCAACCACCAATGGATATCATGTACCTCCCTTATGTCTTCTCCTCTGATTTCTAATATATAAAATAAACTGTAAAACTGCCACTCTCCATAGCATTTCCGATCTTGCTCCCTGGAATATGTTGTTAACTTGGTTCCAATAAACTCATAAAAATCCCTACAGGTTTAGATGTTCCTTATGTTGACAACTGATTCAGTAACTGAAAATCAATCAGTGTAACTCACCAAATTAATAAATGGACAAAATCACATAGTTATCTTGACACAGAAAAAGCATCTGGGAAAAATCTAACACCATTCATGATAAAAACTCTCAAAAGACTGGAAATATAACAGTTTCCTCTAAAATATAACAGCTTCAGGTTGAGGGAAATTAAGACAAGTTTGGAAAAGGGTACAGACTTTCAGTTGTAAGATATAAGGTCTGAGGATCTAATGTTGAGCACAGTGACTACAGTTGATAATACTGTATTATATAATTGAAATCTGCTAAGAGAATAGATCTTAAGCATTCTTAAAACTATAAAAAGGTAGCCCTGGCTGGCGTAGCTCAGCAGATTGAATGCAGGCTGCGAACCAAAGTGTTGCAGGTTCGATTCCCAGCCAGGGCACATGCCTGGGTTGCAGGCTATAACCCCCAGCAACCACACATTGATGTTTCTCTCTCTCTCTCTCTCTCTCTCTCTATCTCCTTCCCTTCCCTCTCTAAAAATAAATAAATAAAATCTTAAAAAAAAACTACAAAAAGGTAAAATATGTAAGGTGATAGGTGTCATAATTAATCTGATTGTGACAATCTTCTCACAATGTATACAAATATCAAATCATCATGTTGTATACTTTAAATATAATTTTGTCGATTATACTTCACACTTCTGGTCGAAATGGAGGTATAGGTAAACACAGCTCACTCCCTCACACAACCACAGCAAAAATTACAACTAGACTACAGAACAAATATCACCCAGAATCATCAGAAAATCGAGCTGTATGGAAGTCTGACAACCAAGGAATTAAAGTCACATTCATCCAGATGGGTAGGAGGGGAGAAGACATGGAGATGTGCACAGAAGCATGGAAACAGAGATGTGGGATGGGTGGTCCCACATCCACATGTGGTGGATAAAAATTGGGAGGGTAACCTTGGGAATGAGGGATCCCAGCCCCAACCAGACCACCACCCTAGGGTTCCAGTTCAAAAAGATAAGTCTCTGTAACTTCTGGCTATAAACACCAGTGGGTGTTGGAGCGGCTGAAAAAACAGGGAATCTCAAGAGACTCCCTTAAAGTGCCTGCAACAGACTTAGCACTTATGCAGAGTCACTCCCTCTGGGCTCCAGCATGGGCTCAGCAGCTGGAAGGGCATCAATGTCATACAGGGAGAAACTGAAGTGTCTGACATCAGGGCAAGTGTAGGACAGATGCCTGGGACAGCTTTCTCCCAAACAAAAATCCAGAGGCCAGACAGCAGCACAATCCCCTTTCCGTGTGCCCCACACACAGAGCCACAGAGCAGTGACTCCATATATGAGACTCCACCAATCTGGTTTACATGGGTTGCCCAGTCCAGGCGATTACCTAAGGCTCCGCCCCATTCAACTTAACAGGTGCACTGCACTTTTCTACAATAGGTCCCAGAACTAAGGCAGGGGATCAAAACAGCTCTATCTAATACATAGAAACAAACACAGGGAGGCTGCCAAAATGAGGAGACAAAGAAACATGGCCCAAATGAAAGAACAGATCAAAACTCTAGAAAAAGAACTAAACAAAGTGGAAATAAGCAGCCTAACAGATGGACAGTTCAAAATACTGGCTATTAGGATGCTCAAGGAATTCCCATTTGGTACTTCAACAGAATAAAAGAGACCCAGGCAGAAATGAAGGTTACACTACGTGAAATAAGTAAAAATCTACAGGGAATGAACAGTGGAGGAGATGAAGCTGAGAGTCAAATCAATGATTTGGAACATAAGGAAGAAGTAAACATTCAACCAGAAAAGGAAAAGAGAGAGAGAGAGAGAATTAAAAAAAAACAAAACAAATGAGGCTAGGCAAAGGAGAACAAAATTTTTCTTAGTTAATTGTATCACATGGAATAGAACCTTTTACAAATATTAAGGTCTAAGACTGCTCTCATTTTTCATTCATTCATTTTCATGTTTAATTTTTCTGAAGTGATAGAAAAAAATGGAATTTTATGACTTAAAAAACCTAATGAGATCCTTCTGTACTTTGTAAGTGTGACGACTGGGTATTCATGCTGTTGTGTGAGATGTGCCTCCCTTAAACCCTGTTATGACACCAGCATATTACCTGTCTGACATGAAGACAAAAACCCAATGAATATACAGGCATGTGCTATACAGACTTTTATGAAAGTTTATACCATAATAAAAAATTTTAATGAAAATGTGTCATTTTAAGGTATACCACGAATTATTTACTTCACAGATTTTAAAGAGCATATCTTAAAGTATACATATTTTACCTGAAAGCTCCGTAAAGTGGTCTGTACCAACAGACAAATGAACAAGGAGTAAAAAGCAAGAACCACAGAATACTCAATCCAAAATCAACTCCTCTTGTAGAATCAACACAAATCCAAGCCAAGCATCCAAAGATATTTAGAAATAGTGTTACAGCGTGGACTGCAGAATCAAAACACAAACAAAAAAAGAAATGTTTACATTCAATTTACGAGTTCATTCAACAAAAATTATAAGTGAAAAAATACTTCCCAAAAGTAAATGTACTGTACCATATGTTTTCATTTAGTATTTCTCAAAACCTTTCTGTTTCTTACATGTTTGATTTGAAAACAGAGTAATCAGAGAAAAACTAGCCCTAATACATGCACTGTTTGGCAAAAATTCTTTTGGCCCTTTCCTAAAGGGCAATTACACGCTAAACCACAGAAGCACTACCTGAAAGGCCTCTCTCCTGCGAAGGAAACATGTGATATTCTCTTGATCCAATGCCTAAAAAGAAAGTACTGCCTGCCAGGAAAAGAACCAGGACTTAGCAGGGAAAAGATCCTACACTCAGAACTGTATTTGTGTGGAGTGGGGCTACAGATATCTCCACGAGCACATTATACACAGAGGAGAAGTGCCCTGTGCAATCTCATCATGACATTTTTCAGCAATAAACTTAGAATCATTGGACTAAAAAGAATACAATATATAGTCAATCTGTAAGAATTATTAATTCATCTTCATTGAGTTGTCCGTTTTTTCAAAGTCCTGGAGTACAAACTGTGTTTTGGTAGAGGATTAAACTTATTAAAGGAAAAAAAAGTACACTATGACACATTTCAGCTCAGGGGACAGACCTTTCTTTAGTCAACACAAATAGATCTTGGCAAACTCTTCTTATGTTGTTAATAATTATTTTCCCTGACAGACCAAAAATAAAAAATCTAAGTAACATATGACTACACTATAATCCTAAAGAACCACATTTATGCATTATAATTAATAACTTTAGCACTTTTAAAAATGTATTCACTGGTTGAATTTATTATAGGAAATAAATTCTTTCAAAAGTTCAAATAATTTTTAATGTAACTTATCAATACAATAAAAATATACCAACAAAATACTACTTGAATTAAAAACAAATGAAAAGCCTAATGAATCTAAACAATAAAACAATCTCAATATACCTAAAATAAACTTAAAATTCTCTTTAAATTATTAATCAAATAAAGTTAATAATTAAGGAAACAGGACAAAAACAGACATTCAAGGATGCCTCATCTAATTTGCTCTCAACCAGATAAATACACAATCTGTAGGGTAAGAGAAAAAGCTCCATAGGAAAAAATCTAGGTTCTACAGAGCTAGTCATTCTCTCTGTGTTTTAATTTTTCATCTATAGAAATGCAGCTCTTCCAGCCTTAAATTCCATTTCATTCTATTACACAAGAATGACTCTTACTAATTACTTTATTCCCATTAAGATTTCTAACTCTTATGAAATGTAGCTTATTAACAAATATAATCAAAATCTTTTGCCTCAAAAGTAGTTCTGTTAAGGGCTTAAAAACAGAATTCAAAAGATTGAGAAATAGAAAACTATTATTCTGTAACATTAAATGGCATCTAACAGCCTAAATAAGTATTAAATATTCAGAACATTCTAACTCAAATATCAACTTTCAGAGAAATAATTTTTATTTTTACTTATTTTTCCCTCCCCTGAGGACATGCTTAGAGAGAGGGGAAAGGAGAGAGAGAGGAGAGAAACACAGATGAGAGAAACAGTCAGTTGCCTCTTGCATGCACCCCAACTGGGGACTGAACCCACAACCCAGGCATGTGGCCTGATCAGGAATCCAACACGTGACCTTTCAGTCTACAGGACAAGGCTCCAATCAACTGAGCCACACTGGCCAGGGTGTTAGTAGACCTAAATCTGGTGTTAGTAGACCTAAATTTGCAACTATCACAATATTCTACTTGATTAGCTCTGCATTTCAATACAGACACCTAACATAAACAGCTTTATAATATAGTATATTATCTTCTTCACTAAATGTCATTTAATGTAGCTGGCCTATATTTATTTTTTCTGTTTCTTTTAAATCAAGGGTACATGCAAAGAGGCTGAGATTCACTTCACAGTGATATTTCTTAATGCTTCAAGCAAGGTACCTTTGAAAGCATATTTGCATCGTATTTGGGTTTAAAATGTCAATTATTTCTTCATTTTGGTACTCTGTAGGTGGTACAACATGTAAATTTAGACTCTGGGCTCTGGAGTCAAACTATCTAACTCCAGCCTTACTTCCTATGTAATCTTGGACAAGTTACTCATTTTCTCTATGCTTTATTTTCTCTATCTGTAAAACTAGATATCACAGTGCCTGCTTCACAGTATGATTACAATTTAATAAAAATGTATATAACAGTGATTAGCACTGTGCCTTGCACAAAGTAAATCCTCAATAAATTTAATCTCTCATTATAATTATAATTACAGTGTGAAAGCACTAGTCAATTCCAAAGTCAGTAAAAGGTTGACACTTCTCGAAAATAACTTACTCAAATAGCTTTTATTCTATGAAGTTTAGAGGCAATACTAAACTGGTACTAGATCATACTTTGTTCCAGATAATTCTTCTTTAAATCAGAACCTTACCTTGAATCTTGAGCCCTCTTTGAATATAGTTAACAGATCTGCCAACTGAACAAGATTAGGAAATACTATAACCAACTATATCATTTCTAAGAACCTCAGAAAGTTATATATTTCTAAGACAAAACAGATCTATTTTAAAATAATCAGCATTGGTAAAGTTAATCATTCATTTAAAATTGTCCTCCCCATTCAACCTGTACTAAAATCCTTTGTTTTTGTTGTTCTTTCTTTTAAGTATATTTTATTGATTATGCTATTACAGTAGTCCCAATTTTTTTCTCCCCTCTATCCCTCCTCCACCCTGTACCCTCCCACCCTCTAGCATTCCATCCCCCACTTAGTTCATGTCCATGGGTTGTACATACAAGTTCTTTAGCTTCTCCATTTCTTATACTGTTTTTAAGCTCCCCCTGTCTATTTTATGCCTACTAATTATGTTTCTTATTCCCCGGACCTCCCTTCCCATTCTCTCCTTCCCTGTCCCCACTGATAACTGTCCATGTAATCTCCATTTTTCTGATTTTGTTCCTGTTCTAGCTGTTTGCTTAGCTTTTGTTTTTCTTTTTAAGGTTCAGTTGTTGATAGTTGTGAATTTGTTGTCATTTTACTATTCATAGTTTTTGATCTTCTATTTCTTAGACAAGTCCCTTTAACATTTCATATCATAAGGGCTTGGTAATGATGAACTCCTTTAACTTGATCTTATCTAGGAAGCACTTTATCTGCCTTTCCATTCTAAATGATTGCTTTGCTGAATAGAGTAATCTTGGATGTAGGTCCTTGCCTTTCATGACTTGGAAAACTTCTTTCCAGCCCCTTCTTGCCTGCAAGATTTCCTTTGAGAAATCAGCTGAAAGTCTTATGGGAACTCCTTTGTAGGTAACTCTCTCCTTTCTTTCTGCTTTTAAGATTCTCTCCTTATCTTTAATTTTGGGTAACTTAATGATGATGTGCCTTTGTGCATTCCTCCTTGGGTCCAATTTCCTTGGGACTCTCTGGGCTTCCTGGACATCTATTTCCTTTGCCAGATTGGGAAAAGTTGTCCTTCATTATTTGTTCAAATAAGTTTCCAACTTCTTGTTCTTGTTCTTCTCCTTCTGGAAGCCCTATGATTCAGATGTTGGAGCACTTAAAGTTGTTCCAGAGGTTCCTAAGCCTATCCTCATATTTTTGAATTCTTGTTTCTTCATTCTGTTCTGACTGGATTTTATGTCCTCCTTTTGTTGCAAATCATTGATTTGAGCCCCGGTTTCCTTCCATTCACTGTTTGTTCCCTGTATATTTGCTTTATTCCACTTTGCATAGCCTTCATTTCTTCTTTCATTTTGCAACCAAACCCAATCAGTTCTGTGAGTTGTCTATCTCCTTGCTGCTTAGTTGCATTTTTGAAGTTTTGATCTGTTCTTTCATTTGGGCCATATTTATTTGTCTCAGAGCTGTTAGGTTGTAATAGGGTGGAGCCGTAGGTATTTGCCAGGCCAGGGCAACACACTGGGCTGTGTTGTGGTGCTGTCTTTGGGAGAGGGGTTAGAGAGGGAACAATACCGCTCACTCCATTCTAGCTCCACTTTTGAAGAACTCTCCTGTGAGACTGGGAATTTCTCTTGCCACAACCCCCACAGTATTTTATAGCTACAGGTTTTGGGTATTTAGTTTCCCAGTCAGCCAGCCCTACCTTGCCTCAGTCTGCCGCCTTTCCCCCAGGTCCTCTCTGCTTGGATCTGCCCATCTCCGCCCCCCTACCGGTCTGGCTGAAAAGTTTCTTTAATACCTTGGTTGTCGGAGTTCCATGCAGTTTGATTTTCTGGCAGGTCTGGTTGTTTATTGTTTTTAAATTGGTTATTATCCATCTTTTGGTTGTGTGAGGAAGTGAAACATTTCTACCTATGCCTCCATCTCTGCTGGAACCTATTTACTAAATTCCTTATTGAATTTTCTCCCAACCCCCATCTCCACCAGCAAAATATGTTTTTCACTAAGCCAAAGAACTTATATCTAAAATGCTAGGCCAACTTCTGCCCATTAAAAAATAATTAGTATATATATTTGCATATACTATATGATTACATTGATTAAATAAAGTATGAGTTGGTTAGCATGAATACATATGAAATCAAAACCTTTAATGTTAACAATATATAATACTGACACTGGGGATTGAGGAAGAGATATTAGATCAACAACAAAAGTCTCAAAAATAAACTAAAAATGTGGGTTAATATACTATCATGAGGAATTACTTCTCACATTTCAGGGCAACTTTGCATATGTGAAGAATGCTCCTAAAAGATTTTGAGAAAATTACTTCATAAATTTGGAGGGGGAAAAAAAGTTACCTAATCATACAGGAAAAACACACAAATTTACCCCACCAAGAATGCACCCTACTAATTATCCTTTAACCCACAGGTTGTGCAGGTGAGAAGTTGTGACAGCTCCCTCTCCTATTGACAAAATGATACTAAATTATATTAAATGTTTGGAATAATAATGAAACAAGGCCCTAGCCAGTGTGGCTCAATTGGCTAAAGCATTGTCCCATGCACCAAAAGGCTGCAGGTTCAATTCCCAGCCAAGGCACATACCTAGGTTGTAGGTTCCATCCCTGGCTGTGGGGGGGCAACTAATTGATGTTTCTCTTTCTCTCTTTTTCTCTCTCTCTCTGCCTCTCCCTTCTCTCTAAAATCAATTAGCATATCCTCAGGTGAAGATTAAAAAAAAATTAGAAGTCCCAGTTCTTGATCCCCACCAAAACAGATTTCACAGTGACAAAATATCTTTTAAAAAAAGAAAAGAAAATGAAACAGAGTAAGTGGGAATTCTGAGTACATACAGTAAACTATTAATAGCTTGCCATTTTACTTTTAGTATTCCATGAGTTGTAATTATACTCAAAGGAATGTATTGCAACCTGAAATATACATCCTAATGTCCTGTTCAATAAAACATCCTATATTAATTACTTTCAATAATCAAAGTATTCATCCTCACTTGAAAATGAAGTGTAAATCATACTCAAAGCTATAAATCAGTTCATAATATTATAATAGTTTATGCCCCTTTTTGCATTCTATTTTGTATTCTTTTTCATGTAAAAAGACATAATGCATAATAGAATTTTAATAACCTTCATTTGCATAAAAATAGTATGCATAATTTTTTCACAGAAAATATTGCCCAGGTAAAATTTTTCAAGGAAGATGGATTATTGCAAAATTCTATCTATGTGACAGAGAGGTCTTTTCCTCAAAAGAATGCCAATTCTCACTATACAGGTCTCCCTCAGCTAAGAACTTAGATTGTCACATATAGTACAATTCTGAAGTACCCAAATATATATTTCACTCTGAAAATTAAAAGATCTATAGGAAAAACTCAATTAATAATACTATCCTTAATATATCAGTTCCAAAAAAACTTGCATTTTGACATTAATATATAAATTTTGTTGAACAAATATGTAATTTAGTCTGTACTTACACATCCACAAGTAGTACATAATCTTTACTGTTTTCTGGAATTCTACAGGAATGTCTACAGAAAAATCCTGATAGAAACAAGGTCCAACAGGAAAATTGCTAGGAAGAGGTGGCCAGTTATTTTTTCTGCCTGCAAAATTTAAAAAAGAAGTTACTTATATTAGGACAAATATGAGCTATTCTTATTTTTGTTTTCAGAATAAAGAACATTATCTATTGTTTTACAAATATAACAATGTATCTCTACATTCTTGGACAACTTTGAAAGCCAATCTTTGTATCTTTCAGATATTTTCCCAGAATCACTTTAGAAAACATTAGATGGTAAAATAATTTTCCAGTGTCATATAATATTTATCAGGAACTATTTATATACAGTTGAAACAAGAAAAGAAAAAAGAACGTAGGAATACATATATTCACTCTGAAAATTAATTGAAATCAATGTTTCTGAAATACCTGTAAGTAAAATCTATCCTATTTCCTTAGTGTTGACTAATGCAAGTTATTTCTTGTAACTCTGCCCTAAAAACAAATTTATTTCAAAATTCCAAGGGTCTGGCTCTCTGTGTAGGCCATTTAGTTTTTAAATCTCTACAATTTCTTCCTCAGTATCTTGAATCTTTAAATATAGTTCCTAACCCATGTGGAGAGGGAAGACACTGCTTTTGAATCTTTCAAGTTTTCTACCATTAACTTCATGAAGAAACACAAGATTAAACAACACCAAAGTAAAAATTCAGAAATCCCAAAGTCTCAAAAAAAATACCCAAAAGACACATAAGAAAATTGAAAAACTATAAGAAAACGAGAAATAGTCATGAAAAATTTGAAGCTAAGGAGTTAAAACACCTTCAAAAACCTAGAGGAAAAAAATTCAAACTGTGAGAGAAAAAACTGTATCTATATAAAGAAATTAGGTTGAAAACAGGGAACCAGTGGTGGAAATACCAAACTAAAATTAAAGCAAGAAGTCAAACATTAAAAATAGCAAAATTAACACCTAAAGGCCATTTTCTCATTTTAGATATTATAATCCTACAACTTTTAAAATTGGATTTTACATATATTTTATAGACCAGGAAAATTTTCATAGCAGAAAAAAGCATGATCTATTTCTGATACTCCCCAACATGTCTCCCCTGTTTATCATCTTTTCAAGTTTCAGGTAGTTCATACATTCCTCACACAAGTCTCATACTAGTTGAGAAGAAGCCACACATGGCATTAAAGAAAAAGGCTCTGAAACCAGAGGTGCCAAGCCACATACTGACTAGGAGGCCTTGGGCAACTTAACCTCCTGAAGACTCTGTTTCTACATATGAAAAATGACAGTAACAACCACCCTTCACAGAACTGTACTGAGGGTTAAACATATAACACACTAGAAATCTAACACTTAATATCCCACTCTTCACTACAACCTTTACTAAAATCTCTCTCATAGAAGTAACTTGCATTAGTCAACACTAAGGAAATAGGATAGATTTTAGATACAGGTATTTGAGAAACACTGATTTCAATTGCGTGTTTAGTTTCTCCCTTTAGAGATGCTGTCTTCGATGTTGCAAACAAGAAAAAGGCCCAGGATAAACATATCCTCAGGAACCCCTGGATTTACACATTCACAATAAGGAAGAAGCAGATCACTTGTTATTGCTGTCCTAGCTTTGTCATCCCATCACTATCCCAGACACATTAACAATGACTTATCTATCTCTCTTACCCCTTCTTACCCAGAGACTGCTAGCTTTCCCTAAAATACTCCGTTGAAGAGGTCTTTGGTCATCACAGCCTGTGAACAGATTTCACAGCTTATAATTTAGCATTTCTTTATTTCTTTGGCACATCAAAATACCCTAAGCTTTCTAGAGTCACCACATGACTTGGCAGATACAACATATTTGTGAGGACAAGGACAAATAATTTGAAACTAGGCTAACTAAACCAGAAGAGTCAAATGTAGGGCACACTCCCATGTATTCATAAAGTTTCATTAGCCACAAAGACAGCCCAAGTGCATAATCAAAGGCTCCTGGCCTTAGAATTAACCAAAATTGTCATATTCAATTCACCTTCTGTGTGATAAGTTTCACACTGTTCTAATTTATCAAAAGACCATGCAAAACAGCCAAGATTAAAGAGCTACACAGAGTCAAGTAGAAAATTTGTTGTGTATGATCTCCTTGCTAGAATAGAAAAACAGGGCAGTTTTATTCACAAACCAAATGACCTAGAGCCAGTACAGGCATAATTTAAAGTGTTTAAAGGTTACTTTTATTTCAGACATCTTGGATACTACCATGTTGACTGAGGTTTTGCATTTCACGTTCTCGACGATCTAATTCTGCTGCTTTTCTTTCTAGTTCTTCCTGGCGCTTAAGAAGTTCAGCCTGAGCCAAGGCATGTTCCTAAACAAAAAATTGTAAGTGAACAGGTTGTCATAAGTATAAAATATTGTAACATTGACATACTATCTTCTAATTCTCCCTCTACTATGTTACAAAGCTAATACAAAGTGCTCTTCCAAAATATAGGAATTCACTGAAGACCACAGTTTCAGAAAATATTATATAGATATTTGACCCATTTTGGTCTTTTGGTTATGAAAAGTTTCATGGGAATGTTGGGCACATAGGACAGAAAAAAAATTCTAAAAGCAGTCAGAGCCCTAAGGTAATTGAGAGAATGAAATTCAGGTGACCTCTGTGCCTATAAGAGTGAGTAGGAGAAACAAAGAGAAGAATTGAGGAAAACAGACTTGAGGAGAAAAGAGCAATTGAATTGGCTCTTGTAAATTGAGTTAAATGGTATGTAAGGTTCCCAATGCAAGAATTTATAATATCTTATAAAAGAAGGATATGGCTAAGAAATTCTGATTTATAACTCCATCTGCACTGGAAGTAAATTGATACTGATACTGTAATTTCCAGTATGAATTTACACGTGTAACATGAACTAACCTTTGCAATCTGTGTATAAGCTGGATGTTCCTCTGTTGGTTTCATTATTGCTGGCTGTGTACTGGGTACATTAGGCATTTTCACATTGCCTGGTGGAGGCTAGAAAGATTAAGAAAAGGGCAAATTACGTAACATAGAGATCCAACTTTAACTTCTTTCAAAAGGCATAATAACAACAAAAAGCAAATGCCAAGAACTGCCTCTCTTCCTCCCCTACTTCTCATAGTCAAGTGTGTGGCAAAGACTTGCTGAAGCTCTCCATCTCTATGTTCTCATTCATGTCTGCACTCTTTGGTCTGGATCTACCTCTAACACTACACCACAAACACTCTCCTCTAGGATGCCACGTGTAAATTAAAACAAACAAACAAACAAACTTTGAGTGTTTCTTTTTAGCAAAACACACATAGCACCAACTAAAGGATTTACACCAAGGTTAACTATCATCTCTTACCTTTTAAGAAAGCTACGTGCCAGCGCCCTAATAGGCTACCTCTTGACAGAACTCCACTGATACCCCTTGAAAAGAGTTAAGAGGGGAGGCCTTAGGTAGATGTAAAATAAACTGCACAACCTCCCCTTTAATGATGAGGGTCAGTTGTATTTGAAAGCTGCAAGACAGAAAAGTAGGTAGACATCTATAAGCCCATCAAAGGGGAACTGGTTAAATTACTTTGTAAACATATGATTCAGTCATTAAAAGAAATGTGTTCGAGTTTTAGGAGAATGCCTTTGTAAATGCTAAATGAAATAAAGCACACTGTAAAATAGTATGCATATGAACAATTTTTACTTTTATAAACACACATCTGTACATGTTTAGGAAAGTATCTGGAAGGTCTCAGCAAATTGCTATCAGAGGGATTTACACCTTTTGTTTTATACATTTTTCTATTATTTGCCTTTCCCTCCCCAATATACTGTCCTAAGTTTAAAAATACATGTTTAAAGCACTTTTTAAAATGACACCAAGAAAAAGACAGAAAGACAGAAGGAGAAGGGAAGAGGAAAAAAAACATGAAGCAGCAGCTGCAAAGGGAAGTTCAAAGATCCAAACTGGAAGACACCACCAATATAGCAGCATTACATCCTGAAACAGCAAACGGCAGGTCTGAAAAGGAAGCCAGGCACAACCAAAGACAAAATGGAATGCAGCTGATTCTCACACACATATGAAAAAACCAATGGCTAAGAATAGGTCAAAAAGTTTTGAAAAAAAAATTAAAAGTCATGCCTATGATATCAAGGCTTATTTTAAGGAAATAGTAATTAAGAGCATGGTACAGATGCCAAAGATCCAGAAATATACCAATAAACAGAAAGGGCACAGAAACAAACCCACACAAATACAGAAACTTTGCAGACAACAGAGGTGACACTACAAAACAGTGAAGTAACGTATTAGTCAATAAATGACCTTGGGATAATTGATTACCCACATGGAACAATTAAACTAGACTTCCCACTTCACACCATATACAAAAATAAATTCCAGGTGAATTAATGACCAAAAAGTGGAAAATCAGTACTTAAACACTTTTAGGAAAAAAATATAAGTGAATATTTTTATGAACTCAAAGTACATAAGACTTCTCAAATGTAAGCTCTAGAACTCATCCTTATTTTGCCTATGATATATCTCAAGTGCCTAAAACAGTGACAGGAACATAATACATGTTCAGTAAGTATTTATTAAGATTAGAAAATGCACAAACCATAAAGTTAAGATTGACAGATTCAACTACATTGAAATTTAGTAACATCACGGACTAGGGGAAATTTGTTATAGTGAATATAAACAAAATACTGCTACCCAGAACACATAAAGAATTGTTCCAAAACCATAAAAATGCAAATACTAACAGAAAAATGGGCAAAAGACCTGTGCAGGGACTACAGAGAAAACAGAAACAGCCAATAAAAATATGAACTCAACCTCACTAGTAATCAAGAAGTGCAAAAACAGTGACATATATTTTCACAACCATAAGAGAGAAAAATATAAAGCCTGAAATACCAAAATGTGAAACTACGGTACATACACTATGACAGTATACATAAAAATTAAAGCATATGTCCAAAATAGCATTTCAAATTAGCAGGAACAAAAAAGATAAATAGTGCTGGAACAATTATTTAAATATTTGGTGGGGAATAAGATCCTGTATCTAGCCAGAATAAATTCCAACTAGATTAAAGTCCATTGTAAAAAAGAAAAATAGAAAGAAGAAAAGAAACTATGAAGACACCAGAAGTATAGTACACAGAATAGAGATGAATATCTGACCTTGGGTTGGAGAAAAGCCATTCTAAACATTAAATGGGGTAAGGAGAGAGACATCATAATGAAAAGGTAATATATCTGACTACATTAAAATTTAGAACGTTGATAAAAGTATTTCATAAGACTAAAAGACAAAATTTAAATAAGCAATACATACCAGTCAATTCTTTACTACCTTTCATATGTACAAATCAATAAGAAATAGATGAATACATTAACAGAGAAAATGCATTTTAAAAAACTCTTAACAGGCAACTTATAAAAGACATACAAAAGGAAAATAAAAAATGTCAACCTCATTCATAATCAAGGAAATGCAAATTTCACCTAATTATTTTAAAATGATTATTACTATAAGATTATCACATTTTGGAAAAGATGCAGTAAATGGGTATTCTCACACACTGATAGTAGAAGCATATACTAGCTCATACAATAATCCTGGAGTATAATTTGGTATTCTGTGTAAGAGCCACAGAAGTATTTAAACCTATGACTAATAAAGAACTAGTCTTAGAAAACATCATAAGGCAATAATCTAGTATAAGCACAAGTATGTGTATGCTAAGAAGGCCCACTATAGCATTATTTATAAAAACAAAAAGTTAGAAATAACCCAACTGTCCAACAACAGAAAAAAATGTTTAGATAAATTGTGATACATTCATAGAACATATTATGCATCTATTTAAAAGTTCTGAAAAATAATAAAATGCAGAAAGCTTATACCTATAACAAGTGATAAAAGCACCCTGGCTGATGTGGCTCAGTGGATTGAGTGCTGGCCTGAGAACCAAAGGGTCACCAGTTCAATTCCCAGTCAGGGCACATGCCTGGGTTGAGGCCCAGGTCCCCAGTAGGGGTGCACAGGAGGCAACCACACATGGATGTTTCTCTCCCTCTCTTTCTTCCTCCCTTCCCTTAAAAATAAATAAAATGTTTAAAAAGTAATAAGTGATAAAGGCAAGTTATAAAACAAAGCTGCATATATACTGTCATCCCAATTGTTATTTGAAAATATAATTAAAATATATCAAATGTTAATAATGATTATTTCTGGAGAATAGGATATAAAAGCTTTTTCTTGTATTTTATCTCCACTATAATATATTGTTACCCAAAGAATTATAAATGCCCTGTTCTACCCCAATATCTCATATTAATGGGCAGAAACACTGAAACTAATCAGTCCTAACTGTTCTCCAACTAGAAAAGCATAGTCCTAAAGTCTCACTGTCTTGGTTTAATATGTAGTGACAACAAAACAACGACCAAGTAAAATGCCTGACAAAGTCAGTTGGAACATACTTTAGAAAAAGCACAGAAGAAATTCACCCAGTTGAAACCTTACTACAAATTCTCCACTCTTTTGAGTAATAAATGAAGAATTAAGTCACAATAAATTAGTAGGTGAGGGTGAAGGCTGGGCCAGAACTAGTAATTTGACAGATAGGAGGTCACAGCTGCTCATGATATGACAGCGATGAGAAACACTGGAGAAGCACCAATCTCCACAGGTGAGCACTGATATTAATGAGGCCGCTGTTATCCTGAGAACTTCTTCAAATTTGTAGACATCAGCTAGATCCCTGTTCAGCTCTGGGATGCAGAATTTTCTTCAGCTACAACATACTTGATTAGCCACCTCAAGCCAAGTACAGCTGTTGCCATAATTATTAAAGAGCTATTCTGATGATACCCCCTAGATGCATTCCAACTGCTCACTTCTGCACATATGAGTAAAAGGGAAACGAATAAAACAATCCACCCAAGATTTCCATTTCTGGCAACACAGAAGACCACAGATTGTAGTGAACCCCCCATACACAATACCTAAAAATGTCTAATCAAATTTTATTTAAATAATATTTTAAGTATAACTATGCTGACAGAAAATCCTGGGATGGCAGAAAGTAAAACACACACACACACACACCACCACCACCACCACCACCACCACAAAAACCCCTGCAAACCCAAACAAAAAAGAGCCTTCACGCCATTCACAAAACCACGGGTTTAATAAGCTGGAGAAAAGCTTGGGAAAAGCATGCAAGCTAAAATCCATCTGAGATCCCTCCATAAAGCCAGGTCTCCCTACAAAGCAACACTCTTAGTGGATAAGAAAAATAGCAACTTCACAGAAAAAACAGTAGGAATATCTGTTTGTCTTGCCCTTGATTCTGGATAAAGAGGGAAAAAAAGAAAGCTTCCCTGAGAATACATAATCAATCATAAACCTACCGAACCTGCAGACTTTTCACATCTACCCACACAGACAAAACAAAAATTCTGTCTCAGGAATCCTGGGTGGACAGTGACCTCGGGCACCTGGCAAACGTAGAGGAACACACTTCAAATGGGGCTTCAAAAAATCTTCGCAGATAAAAAGCTCCAAGAAACTTTGAGTCATGATATAAACACAGAAGGAAACAAGCCACCATGAGCACAGGCCCACAGGCTTACAAACTACAAAATAAGATACATGATATTGGAATTATCAGATATAAAATATAAAATAGATATGATTAATAAAGAAATGAAAGCAGGTAATAAATGTATGATTCATCAACAAAAGACTATCAGAAATGACCAAACATCACCTTTAAAAGGTACAAATGGAACTTCTAAATATGAAAACTATAATAATTGAAATCATAAATTTAATGTTAAATAGCAGACTAGACAGAGATGATGAGATAATTAGACAAATGGAAGTGGGTCTAAAGAAACTGCACAGAATGTGGCAGAAAGAGGGGGAAAAGGAAAACATGAGAAGTAAGAGAGATGACACCTGAGTGGGAAAGCCTAAGAG